TTTGTAAGTAACTGAAAAGGATGGGTCGGTAGTTTTTTTTAGATCCTTTCTATCCCTTTTTATGTATTAAAATACTTGTTGCATTTTCCCAGGCTTTTGGAGTTTTTTTTCCGTAGAGGATGCATTTGTTAAAACTATTGGCTAGTTTAACAGTTGCAATTTCTCCTGTATCTAATATAATATATTTCCTCTTTGTGTACACGTCACTTTGTACACATACTATATTTTACATTTATATTATGAATATTATATAACTAATTATATATATTATCTGTATATTATTCATTCATCACCACACACATTCATGTCATCACAATCACATCATTAGTGTTTTTTTTTGTTTGGTCTCACCTTCATCTATCTATCATCACAACACACTACATTACGGCACTACATGGTGCACACATATTATATATATAATATAATTAATATTATATTATATTATAATATTAATATATACTATATATATATATTTTATTTATATATATAATTTTTAGATTATGTATATAATATATATATATAATATATATTATTATGATATTATTATATTATCATATATATAATAGGGATATATTATTTTATAGATTATTTTATATGGTAGTATTTGTTTTTATATATTTATTATTGTTGTTATATATATTGTATATATGGGGTGGGGAGGTGTGGGTAGTGATGTAGGGGGGTATGAGGCCTGGTGATTAGGGGGGGGGGGGAGGGTAGAGGGAAGTAGGGGGGTGGAGGGCGGGGTGATAGGGGGGGCTGCTAGGTGGGTGATGCGGGTATACGCGGGAGGGGGAGGGGGGGTGTGGAGGCTAGCGGCGGCGTGAGGGTAGGGGCTATCGCCGGGCGGGGCCTGACGGGGGTTATTAGTACTGGGATGACGTACGCCTACGGGTAATCGGGGTCGGACGGGGTGGTGAGGCATGGGGAGGTGTGGTCTAGCTAGTGTGGAGCGGGCTATACTGATCCTGTATAGTGACTAGGTGATATGATATATATATACTATATGATATATACGATATATATCATAACTATCATAATATTATATACCTATAATATGAGATATATATATACTCTATAATATATACTATATACTATATATATATATATATATATTATCTATAGTTAATACTTATCTCTACCATCCTATCTACTATGTATGTTGAATATCACATTGTTTCATAAGATTAAAATTGCATGGAAAGAATCCCCTTCTTGCCAAACTCAAGCAACGGGGAAGATCAAAGGAAAAACTAACGCATCATTGAGAGTCTGTCCGTCTGATGCACGAGATGGATGCATTACGTCTGTACTTGAGTCGCGGCCAAATACACCTTCGTTTGAGAGTAAGTCTGACAACCAAATGCTAGGGAGGACTAATGTAATCGGTCAATAATAGCATGCTCGAGGTTGGGTGGATGGGTGGAACATGGGGTGGTGGAGCTCGGCAACACACCCTCTCCTCTTCTCCTCTTGGTGAACTCTGGTTAATCTTAATCCTGTGTAAGATGATCTGACTGCCTTAGAAAATCGACGATGGAAGTTTCAGCGCTGTGAATTTAGATTTACAAAATATACTGGTTACAGATATTGTTTGACACTAAAGAAGCTTATGTTCCCAACGCTTTTAAAGGTTGAAATTCTCGAAAAAGTTATCTTCCATTTTCGATACACATACACACAACACACACACACACACACACACACACACACACACACACACACACACACACACGCACGCACGCACGCACCGCACGCACACACACACACACACACACACACACACAACACACACACACACAACACACACACACACACACACACATATATATATATTATATATATATATATAATATATATATATAGTATATATATATATATATATATATGTGTGTGTGTGTGTGTGTGTGTGTGTGTGTGTGTGTGTGTGTGTGTGTGTGTGTGTGTGTGTGTGTGTGTGTGTGTGTGTGTGTGTGTGTGTGTGTGTGTGCATGTATATATGTAATGATGTAATCCCGGAGGCGACTGCATTATATCCCTCGGTTGACAATAGAATAACAAATCTGCGCATCGTTAAACGTCATGACAAAATGATCCAATACCTTACCTCCTTTTATTGTCATCGTTTGCACGGTATCCTTGTTGCATGTGTTGTTATCTAACACTCGGTGACACAGAAAAAGCTCCCTGGAAAAATGACGAAGCTCGAAATGAAAAGCAATTTCCTTCAAGCAACAGCATGCACGAGTCATGTTCCCTCGCAACAGGATCAGC